TGAATAGGGCTAATTTTCACCCGATTTCATCTATTATGTACAAAAATACATTATTATTAGCAAAATACTCTCTCTCAATTACATTAAAATAACTCACATATTGACGGTAATTGCGGTATAAAGCCAACCGAAAGTTCGAAAATCTTTCTATTAGATATACTGACGCTAAAAAAAATATTGATGTAAAGGCAGACTATTATTAGAATAGGATATTCTTCAAACTTCTATAATACATCTCACAGATTAACCAATATTTTCGGTAAAAAGTGCGCAATAGGAACATATTCAGTATATGGAGTCTTGAAGAGTTTTGGTCCGATTTGAAAAATTTTTGGCCATAAGGTGGCACAACTTAAGGGCACTGTTCTTGCAAAATTTTAACAGAATATATCGAATGGTCTTTGACTTGTATACTGAAAAGTGAAAGGAATCACATAGAATATAATTTGTGTTATATGGGAAGTAGGAGCGGTTTTAGACTGATTTCGCATATTTTCGCACTGTAATGTAGGAATCTTAGGATAATAACACCTAATAAATTTGGTTCAAGTCGGTCGAGTAAGTCCCGAGATATGGGTTTTCTTTTCGGTTGTAACATTTAACGTCTCTGGAGTATTTAATTATAGATTTATCGCAATTTAGTAGTTTTAACCAAGAGTTATAATCTCAATTCTCCCATTTTAACAGGGTGCATTGGGATGCCGAAAACATTTGCCTGAGCGAAATTGCCTAACGTCCAGCACAGCATGTTGTAAGAGTAAGGAAAATAGTCTGCCAAAAAATTTAAATAATTCAAGGCTTAGCAATTTTTTGCATTCAAATTATTTTACATGCTTTCATTTGGAAAATAATGCGAATCAATGTTTCCATTCCGATTACAGTTGCCGATTTCGTTGCCATTAATTTGCATATAAATCACATTTGGCGTTTCTCAAGGACACACATTCTAAAGCGCCAAATCTTATTCAAAATTGACAGAACACACATTCATATTTGTTTTTGTTGTTGTATGACATGTGTGCCTAAAAATAAATACTTAAATATTTAGATTTATATTCATGCCCTCCCGCTTGCATTACACTAGCAACTGTAGGCTGCCTAGATTAGCATAAAATACTTTGTCGTATCGATTGTGTTGTTTATACAAATCGAGCAAAATTTTTCTTGTAAAATTCAAACAAATGTTATATTTTACTGCGAAATCTGCATATTTTCCATAAGTTAATGGTGTATTATTTATTTTCTTGATATCAGCTCTTTTGTGGTAAATCTTTCACAAAAGTTTGTTTCGTTAAATAGCTCAATCAGACGTATTATATAGATAGAGAAGTTTTAAATGGAATATGTATGAGTAGTAGGTATGTGTAGTAGTTATTCAGGCAATTTTGTATACAAATATTTTCAAACTAAGCTGTTGTTGTGTTATCGTTTCGTTTCAGTTTGAAGTTTTACAATTGAAACGACAATTAAATTTTTTTTCCATAACTTTTTTTTTTACCAATTATAATGTTATAATATTATATATCATACATTACACATTCTTACTATCTTCAACCTAAATATGTTTTGAAATCAAAAAACTCTGCTCTCAAAGAAAATGAAAATAATTGCCATACAACAAACGCAGTTGTTTTGCAAAATCTCAGTATGTAATGGACCCAAAACGATAGAGGTACCTTAACCATATAATTTTAAGTGCTCTATAGGCTCTACCGTGGCCTCTTGTTATTCATTTCAATCACCAGTTCGTAGAATTGAATTGTTTTTAGATATCAAAGCTTTTGAAATAGAAGCTTTGGGTCATTGAATGTAAGAACATATTAACAATGAAGTTATCAACATTTATAGGTAGGAAATCAAAATATATGTATATAGATAGACGGACAGATTTATATGACTAAGTCAACACAGCTCTTTCCTTCTGGGTGTTACTTATATAGCCTAATCAGGGTATAAAAACCTGAAAAGAAATAAGAAACAGATATTTTGGAAATTTGAAAGCCAGTGGAAAGAAAGTCTTCAATCATTTTTATTAAAAGCTGCTGATTTTCATTTTTCGTGATTGAAACTTAGAGCTTTGATCAATCCATAGAACTATTTGTAGAGAATAAAAAAATGAGGTTGTTATTAAGGAATTGTTATTAATTTTAGCATGAATTTTTGTTTTCCAACAAACAACAGCTAAGAATACGAGTTGCACGTTCAAAGGTTTAAACTATCATATACCTGCAACTGTGAGTTGAGCTTTTACTAGATGTATAAGCACAGCATTGTAATAATAGAATTTTAACGCAGAATTTAAATTTTATTAGCTATCCCAGTGTTAAATCCATATAGAAATAGTTGCTAAGAATAAATATTTACTAAAATGCTTTCTAAAAGTCTCTAAGCAAATACGCTTTTAAAAAAATACGCTTTTTATATATTTAGCTGGTATAAAAGTGTCTTAAGAAAGCTCAAAAGAAAGGAGAACTAACCGCACAGGGGAGTTGAATGTCCTTGCGGTTGCATGTACTTTTGTTATAATATAAATTTGCACATGTTGCATGGTATTTATGACTAGTTCGAAATACCACAAAGCATCTTAGCAGTCCACAAAGCAAAGCTCAAATCAACCAGAAACATGGAAACAACCAACAAATGGTTCAAATGGTGGCGTGCACTTTGTATAAGTGCAAAGCGGATCTTTTCTGCATCCACTTAACATTTGTTGTTGCTGGCCAACCACATATCAGCGATTTGCCAAGCGTCCGTCTACCTCTTCCGTAATACTAGTAGCTACTACATATGACTAGGTTACATGTTGTTGGAGTTTGAACAAGTTCGCATTGTTGCAGCAGAATTAGAATGAAATTCATCTGCAAAATGCAGCAGCACATTCGATGAATGCGCACTAACACTGGTTTCAGTCACACATATGTGCGGACAGGCAATTTTCCCATCGTGAAAATGTGTGTGCGTGGTGTTACATTTGGCATTGCCGCCGCTGTCAATGTGGCATGGAAATGACTATTGTGGTCAGCAGTGGTAGCGGCAGTCTAACGATAGCATTTGCATACCCAAATGAATGCATACATATGTGAAGGGAATTTATGCTAAGTGTAGAGCGCCCTAACGGAACTTTTTGATATCTTATCACTAGATTTTTGATTCGGTTTATATAAAGACTTTTGAGTTTTGTAGTGAGCTCTTGCATTCGTGAATTCCAAATTCATATCTAACCGATTTTTTGATGTTTTATCAAAATGCCACCAACAATAATTTTTTAATACGAAAGAAATCTACAGAAATCTGGAGAACATTTTTTAACGGCAACGACCGCTGAGGCATCGCATATTAAAGTACAAAATGTAACTACGCCGAAGATAGATTTTTCGAAAATTTTATTTACCGTTTAGAGGCGATTGTATTTTAATACATACATAACTAGTTATGTAAACTTGTTAATAAAAATTATTTTCTGTATTGTACGTGGAATAAAAACAATCCGATTGTTGATCTACACCTTAGAATTAGCTTCAGAAGGTATCCCTGGCCTTGTGAACGAATGTTTGAGCTTGATTATATCGCTGGCAGTTAAATTTTTACAACAATTTCTCATTATACCACTGGTGAAAACGCTTGTCAGCTCTTAGGTCGAAGTAATAAAGTCCAACTGGGTTCTAAGGCACTTGACACCTCATTCGAACCACACAGTCTCAGCGTGAACCAAAAACTTGCTGCGTATATGCAAATAGCTAGCAACAATAGCAGCAACACCTGCAATATGCATTGCGGTAGCATATTCCACATTCTCTCTTACCCCCTCAGCTCACCTCAATTGTCCTCACCACACTTTATGTTGCCTTATACTTGTTTCATTATCGTGTGAGCTTCTGGAAAATAGAAATGTGAATTACAATTCAAATCATTGCGGTTATTGCTACCATTCAAGTGGCAGTAGCAAGTATGTGCAATAACAAAATTGCTTGTGAATATACGCCACTGCCAGGATGCTATCATGCAAAAGTTTCTGTTAATGTTTTGCTTAAATGTCATAGAAATATCTATTTTGCCTTTGAATTATACACACATTTATCTGCATATAAAATCTTTTATAAAAATTTTTTTTATATATATATATAGGTATATGTTTTTATTTTTTAAAATTTTTGTGGTATTAAATAAATTTTTGAAATTCTCTATTTCTGAGAAATTTCTATTTCTGTACGTAGTCTCTCATTGTGACCCCATGCCTTGTTAGCTCTTGCCTTTACTTTTTTTTGTACTTGCAACAACCACAGTCTATGCGGTTACGTGCAATTGGTGTGACAAGTACTGTTGATGACAAATCATGCATTTCTTTGTTCAAACTTTTTGTACTATTACCCTGTGGTTAAAGAAGAATTTTTAATTAAACGGTAAGAATAAAACATTTTTTAGTGTGAAGTGAAGTGCGGTTAGTGAAGTGTAGAATTTCACCTTGTTTTATAAAGTTTTATTTGATTGCGTTTTTCTTTAGTTTATTTAATTTAATTTAATTTTATTTAATTTAATTTATTTCAATTTATTTTAATTTTATTCAATATAATTTAACTTGATGTAGTTTAATTGAATTATTTTTTTAATAATTAATATATCTTATTTTAAATAATTTAATTTAATTGTATTAAATTTATTTTACTTTCTTTTATTTTATATAATTTCGTTTCATTATATATTATATTCTATTTCGTAATACCTAATCCAAATTTAACCACTGAGAAACAGTTTTTATTCCCGTATTTCTCTCTTCTCTTCGTTTTCTAACCAACTGCAGAACTAAAAGCCATCGGTTAATTTACATAATATCTTAATATACTTTGGAGCCTGGCCATAATCGGCTGATATTTGTATACTGTGTGTTATTTTGTGTAACTGGTTTTTGTGTGATATTTTAATCAATAAGCCTTGGATACAAAAAAATTCTTAGATTTTCTCTTTATTTCGTTGTTTTCTTCTCTTATTTTGTATACTTATAGGAATCGACTGGTTTCAGTACTAGACTTAAACCTCAACAAATGTGATTTCGAATACTGAATGTGTTTTTCTCTGGAGGACTTTTTTGACATGAAAAGGCTTTAAAGGTAAATCCAGCAACTTACTATATAATTAAAACTTGACATTAAAACTTAAACTTTCATGAGAATGAAAGAATTCCGCTGAGAGAAATGTGGCAGTCAGCTGAGAAGGAGCATTTTGTTTATATAATATTAGAATTAGAAAGATTAGTTCATTTGAACGCCTACAACAACTTCAGCTTTTGTTTCCTGTTGTCTACGTTGTTATACTTCATACTTTCGGTGTTATTGGTATTTTCGAAATACCCTTTAGTTAGAATAGATCAGAAAGAAATTCTTGTTTGAAAATGGTTGTACTCTCCTTCAACTAAATCTGTTTTTCGGTTCACTTATCTTCGCACGAGTTTTGTAATATATGATATATTATGAGATATGTAGCCTTGATTCAATTACTTGCGATTCTAAGATGGCTAATACTCCCTGGTCAGCTTCAAATTTTATGCCGCTTTCCATTCCAATTTGTCGTATTTAAGAGATCTTACGACACTTATACTTAATAAATGCAGAATCAATATTTTAAGCAAAACCATATGAATTATAGGAGTACTTCTATCCTACCTTTATCGAAAGGAGTTTTGGTTATTTCGCACATGACTTCATTACGCACACTCAAATGAGCTGAAGCAATTGCATAATGGTTTTCATAACTGTTTGAGTAGAAATACACAAAGAGCAAATGCGCGCTATCAGCATAACATTCGACTATCGATTGACATTCATGCTCAGCTCGTTTGCGGTTTGTCTGTCAAACTGTACTTGTACCTAGCTGTACATATGCACACAGCTTATCATCAGTAGCGAAACGTTATAAGCATATACACGCTCATGTGCGTTGAAGTGAAGAGTACGTATCCTTTGACCTCACGGCTGGAATTTAGCGAAACAATTCAATTCAATACATTCGTGAAGCGGCAAATGAATGCAGCACAAAGCTTGTTGAAGATCTGATACCAATACTAAGCATATACGGTTATGCAAGGGTCTGAAAAGGGAAGCGGTAGTTTTCACGAACTACAGACGATAATGTATAGATCGAAGAATACGATTGCTCAATAGGTTCACGGCTATTACATGTTGAACTCACAAGTCAGATGAAAGTGCATTATTTTAAACTCGTAGCTTTTTCTTGTAACAGCTGAATGCTTTCGCTTTATTGGTATGCCGTTATATAATATGTGATTCGCAGATGCGTTTTATATTTTTCATAGAGATAATTCAAGTTTATAATTAATTTTGGGAAAACCGATTGCTTTCAAATATTTATTGAAGGCTTAGTTTCGTTTCACTAAAGACTAAACTGATCAATTTCAATCAAGCGATCTAACACGGAAATTATACGACAAATATTTAATGGAGGGATATATTACTAAGGGGTTGCCAACTCTTTCAAAACAGTGAGATAAAAGAGTAAGGAAGAGTTAAGTTCGGGTGTGACCGAATATTTTATGGTATACCCTCGTAATTTATATTATCATATTAAATGACTGATATATTCGGAATAAAGTCCACTAGTATGACGAAAATCCATAAATATATTATATTGTATAGGATCTGTGGTAATTTGTGGGTCGATTTCACCCGATTTCCACTTAAGTGCATTAATTAATGAATATATGGTCACTTATTTTTTTAAGAGATCTTGTGTATTAACTGATATACATATAAGACATACCAAAAGTTTGAAAATGCCTAATTAATTGTAGGTATATGGGTATTAGAACCGATTTGAGTACATGCGTATAATAACACAAGGAAAAGATGTCGCTATTTATGGTATAAAGTCAAGCAGTGAGGTCCTCATATGTAGTATCTGGGGGCCCTCAAAGGTGTTAACATTAACGAACTTGATTCCAATATCGTAATTGGTGCTTACTTATACCCTGAACCGGGAAACGTTGAAGACTCTATAAAGTGTATACAAAGTCAATTCATTCGTATATACATAGAAGTAGTCCCTCAATTTTGGAAATATCGATCTAAGTTTTTATATACACTCTTTCCCCCCAAGGAGGTGCACGTTTGTCGGAATAGTCGGTATCGGACCATTATAGCATATAGCTGACATACAAACTGACAGATCAAAATCAAGTCCTTGTAAGGAACGTTTTTTTATTTGACAATTATTGACTAAGTCAACGCTGGAATCTTCGATTATATTGTTAAAATTGGACTATTGTGGCAAATACGTATATGCCTTATAAACTGAACGATTAAAATCCAGATAAAGATATTTTTATATCCTTTTAGTCGTTTTAGAGATATATGGTATAATTTCAGCTAAAAATGGGCAGTGCGTCGACCTAGAAAGCCCTTAGCACCATCTTGGCTGTGATATTTTAGTGCTTTTGACATATTTCGTTAGCGCACTTTAAGTAGTTTTCAACATCATCTTTGTACATAGGTGGGTGTGGTTAATATACGATACCACCATTTTGACAGCACCCAGTTTTATTGTGAATCATAAAATCGCTCTTTGAACATACGGATAATTGTATATGAAGTTAATATAAATTGCGCAATATTCTCAATTAAACAAGTAACAGATTTTATTATTTTTCCATATCCCTAATATCCGAAATATTAAAATTTTAGTCAATAACCCTCGAGCTCAACCGTATTTACCAACTGATGATTCCACTTGAAATAACTTCAAAGCAACAGAAAAAAAATTTATTAAAATCAACCTAATTTAGCTAATTTCACAAAGAACACTAGAAAGTGGAACACTGCTTTAATACACTAAACGAAAAAAAAATTGTAGATTTTCACATTTTCTATACACAACTATAGCGGATGTAATGCAAAGTACAATTTTCAATTATGCCAACCCAGTTTGCGAGGCATCAGCTAGCAAAAACGGTTAAAAGCGCCCATCCGCCCATCATGCAACGCCCTGTTGGCCAACTATTCGCGCTCATTCAACTTTAATTCACTTTCACATAATTGCGTGCACAAGCACAAAAAACCCATTTCCAGCACACAACGCTCATACACATACACATGTAGAGTAGGGTGAGAGGGGGTGCGAAATAAGGGTGACCCAAATAACTACTTTGCACTCACTAGTCGGCTATTCGCACATTGTGAACGTCCCACAACTTTACTAGTTAAACGCGTAGCATGTAACCCCCAACCCAGCGACCAAGTGGTCGGATTTATTTTCTCATTTTTGAAAATCGTATGTTTTTGCGAGTAAAAAGCGAAAAAGTCGGCATCAGGTTTTTTGCACTCAAAAATTCCTACAGTTAATTAATTTCGAATGGCGCTGCAAAATGCAAAGGCAATAACACAAACACAAACACACACACACAAATTGAGGAACCAACAAATTAACTTGCTACCGAAAGCCCGACTGTCGGGTTAATAAAAACGATGAAAGCAGTGAAAAGATTTAAAAGTAGTAAGTGAAAAATGCGCCGAAAATATTTGTTTGCTCTGCATTTTCAACAAAATTAGACAAATTGCAACAATAAACGCAGAAATCACGCAAAGCAACACTTTGGCACAAATGCACACACATAACTTACATCTATATTTGTGCGCTGAAAGTTGCTGGCACGCCGCGTCGACGCTTTGACAGTTTTTCGCTCTTTGCATTGTCCCACACAAAAGCAACAAAAACACAACCTCTCATGCAGCAACAAAGAACATATTTAGCTATTACATTGTTTGTGTCAGCAGCAGCAGCGACGGCGGTGACGGCGGTGGCGGCGGTGGCGGCAGCAACAGGAAAAAGCGCAAACAATTTACGCATGAAATTAAAACTTTCACCAAAGTGTTTTCGCCTGTCAACAGTGTGAAAGCTGTGTAGTGTAGCGTAGACAAAGAGGGGCGCATTCCGACACGCCTTCGGTGTTGGGCGGGTGCGCTGACAAAACTCTAGTCGCAGTTATGTTTCACAATGCAGGGGCGCGAAAAGCAGGCCAACACTGCAGTCGAACTAGAGGCTGCGACAAAAGTGATTCCCGCTGCGTAATGGCGCCGATTTGGTTGCTTTGCCGCATATCCGTTACAAAGCAAAGCTTTGCAAAACACTCCGATCACACGGCGCAGCGCTCACGCCGAGTTGCCGAAGTTTTCGGCAAAATCTCCAACACTGATAGTTTTGTTTAGTCACCAGCTGTACGTTGCTTTACTATGCTTTTAGTATTTGTTGTAAGCAAAAAAACCAATTTAATTTTAATAATAAGCAATGTAATAGTCTCCCAACTGCCTACTTCCGTTGCGCGCTCACCCGCTCTCTGCCATAAGTTGAGTGCTTTTGTTTACCCATCTTTCTAGTTGCTTCTTGTTGTTATTATTTACTTGATAGTTTGTAACGGCGGCATTGTGTTGTTGTTGTTGTTGTTCTTTCACACTTTATAGTTTTTTGTCTGGTTTCTTGTATGCTCGGCAATTAAGTAATTAAGCAAGTTTTCCCTACCTACAACAATGTTATGCATTCGAGCAGAAGTTGGCGAAGAGAAGATCGGAGACAAATACATATTTGTATTTATATTTTGTATACTTGTATATGGTAGAGTCCGGCAGAAATTTCAAAGCGCTATTGATATAAAATGTTCTGCGCTAGTTTGTAAAGGATACAGTTTATTACAGTTACTGTTTATTATTTACTGCAGTAAACTTCTATATATACATATACCTATATAACATTTTCATAGTGAAACCAGAAGAAAAACTAGGAAGAACTATTTGCTTTAGATATTGGGAAGTTATTTAAGGTGAGGGCAGACAAGAGCAACCACTACTTCCTACTTGTACATATTCTTAACTGCTGTTGAATACTATTAGACAGCGCTTAGATCCTCAGTAGATATTTGGAGGCGCTGCTACTGCATATTATTGTTTCACAGCTAATAAATTCTCACTAACTTCAATTCTCTCAACTTTTTCCAATATAAACATTTTTTTGGTCACGCCTTTGGTCTGTCTTTTCCTACAAAGAGACGTCTCAGATTATATTGGTACTAAAGTGTGACTTTTAAAGCTCGAATTTTTTGCTGCTATAAAAATGTGATGTCCATAGCGCCATTCGGGGCATTAAAACTATGCATATATCTTATATCTCAATATATGTTCATGCGTCTCAATAACTCAAAAATCCAATGGGTGCGCTGAATACTCAGGAGCTTTAAGCGCTTAAGCAAATATTCTTTTATGACCGTGATCGGACCACCAGGCAGTATGTATCATATATATACTTGTATATCATTTATGGAATAATTTAATTGAGCGATTACTGTTGTTTATGGTATGACAAGTATCTCAATGTTAGATTTACTTGACTTAAGGTGGCTAGGAAAGTAAATTTGGCGGAGTGCTTCACCTACACAAATATCGTAACATGCATTTTCTAGAAATAAAAAGATGATGAAAGCTTCTGCTATCTATATTTTTTGATAGTTTCATTGCCGGACGACCAACAAGATATTATTATTTTAAAATATTTACACCGTTACTGAATTATGTGTACTTTCCCATAACACAGTTTACTAAAAAACTTCATCATATCAAACTACCTTTTAGTATTAATAAGATTGCTTCGAATTTCTAAAGTAAAATAGAATGACGTTGTAAAAATCGTATAAACTGAGATAGTGCTAAACTGAAGCTGCATTAAACGAACATTATTTTTGAAGTTTTATGAAAAAATTTGTTTTGCGTTCCATCGCAAAAACATATTAGAACAATTCAATCAACATATGTTACATTTCAAATAAATATCACAAAGCTAAATTTGTCATGTGCCTGTATAAACATATAACTATACTTACAGTTCGATTTCCTAAATTCTTTACTCGACAAGTGAGTTTCACCGTTTTGCCGACTAGCCCTGTTATATTCGTCGGCACGGTTGTATCGAATGTGGGGCCGCCAGTGCCAGGTGTTGGCATGTCTTGTAGAAAATCGGTGAAAAAGCGTTTTGAGGCGCCCTCAAGGGAACCTGAAAAACATATTACGAAATGTTAAATAATGGTTAAATGAATTTTAATTGCCATTTAATAAAAATATTACAATTTTATATATAAATATTGATTTGACTAACCATTTCTGTTGTCAAAAACACTACTAATCGAATTGGACTCCTAATGCAAGCACATGATAAACACATGTCTGCGATTATAATAAAACAAAATATCGATAATCGAGAATAAACAGCCCGCGAAAAATCAAAATTCACCTTTTCTTTTGAACACACCTCGTACGCTTTATATACGAGATAAGTGATCCTGAAATGAAGACATACCAATAACTCCATCAGAATAATAAGAGTCTATCGTCTTAGAGTTTGTCAACAGCTCAGAATCAGTCTGAAAACCTATTTGTTTCGTTTTATCGGGGTTAACTAAAAGAGTAAGGTTAGGGACAAGTGAGGATGCAATGAAATGACATCACCCCGCTGATATTGAAACTTAAACTTTAGACATTTTCGCGTAACTAGCAATTAGGGATACATAGGTTAGGTTAGGTTAAGTCTATCATAAGACTTTTGCATATCGACAATGCGCTTTGAGCCTACCATGAATTTTTTGAGACGGCCAACGTCAGACGTGGCTATGTCTTCTGGTTTGCCGAAGGTAATACTACCAAGATGTTTCAGCCTCAGTCGTGCAAAGTCTGGACAAAAAGGAAAAATATTTCCTCCTCACCCTCCTCCATACAACTTGAACAACTAGCGTCCGCCAAGATTTTTAGTCTTACCAGCCTATTGAACAGTGTCCAGTAAGAACTCAGGGGGTATTCGTTTGGTTATTAAACGCCTTACATAACCATCAATCGTCCGTATCTATTTGAACTTTTTTTAATAAATTAATAGCAAGATTTTGCCAGTAGAAAGCGCTTTTTTATTTCAATGATACCGTTGAAACTCTCCTAACCAAAATTAGCATGTTCAACGGCGCAGAGTCTGGATAATTTTTTTTTTTTTTGTTTTACATAATGATGCTCATATATTTGTATGTATATAGGTGACCATATTGACTTATTGTTATTGTTGCCTTGCAGAAGCAATAAACATTTAAATACTGACAACTTATTTTTCATAACATTTTTTCCATGTTTTCTGTTGATTATTACAATAACTTTTATTCCGCCACCAACGCCCATAAGTTTTGAATCCAAATCACCCATTCGTGAGAGCCAAATGCCAAAATGACTTAGCATTTTACATAATTTTACGACCACAGGGGGCAACGCATTAAAGAGATTATGCCTGTATAAGCAAGCATTTGTGGTCTGTATGTGTTTGCAAGCGATCGCTTGTGTGTGTGCAAGTGTGCGTGTGCGCATGTTGGCACGTTATTTGCAAACTTTAGCAATTATGAATTATAAAGTGCTAATGTCAGTTATTGTATAATGACTAAGTGTTGTCAACACGAGCGGTGTCAAACAAAGGATTCAACAACAAAAACGACACCAACAAACAATATAATATTTGCATATAGGTGTTGGTGTGTGTGTGCGTGTGCGTATACATATATTGGAGTACGGAGGAGAATGCCAAGCACGCAAATGACACAAGTGTGTTCGGACAACAACGTTTCACTAATAAAAACTAATGACAACAGCAAATGGGACAAAACGATGTGTCGACAAAGGGCTGATCCAAGGCTAGCGGCTTAGTTAGATATTATATGAATGCACATACACAGTATATAGTTGGGGCCGGTATGCGAAGCACGTTGCATGCTACAAGTAGCAAGGAAAAAAAGTGTAGCTGGGTTCGTCGGAGCAAAACAAATAACAGCTAAACGACCAACAGGCGAATGGCAAATATACAATGAAATAAAACTAACAATAGCAACAACAAAGTGCTTTGCAAGCAAGCGTTAAATGGACTTGTGGCATGCCACAATTACATAAATGCAACATTGTGGACTGCGATTACCAGTGACTCGAGCAAAAAAGTGATTTAAAAGCTTTAGCATGTATTAGTATGCATGTGTGCGCATGTGTGTGTGTGCTTTTGCAATTATCTTCCGCGTTTGATAAGTTGTAAATAACAAATATATAAAATGAATTAAATTTCACACAACGCTGCAGGCGCAAACAGGTTGAGTGTTATAAAATAAATGCTTCACAATAGTTTTGTTTTTGTTGTCAAGCGGAAGCTGGGCAGTTGGTTGTAAACATTGCCCACGGCTAAGTGATGTCGTGTAAATATTGGAGAGATAATTTAGTGGGAAGTTCGGTTAGAATTATGATTAAAATTCAGTTTCCTGTAACGGTATATATACCATATATAGTGCCACATATTCGTTTAAACGTATCCTTAATTTAAATTTGCTTCCTTTTCCCTCTTTTATCATTGAATTGGTATAATGTACGTATCTTATTAACCACTGAAGCTACAACAACCAAATCCGCTTAGGAGAAATCCTAAAAGAACCCTTACCGACAGTGTGAAAATGGATGAAGTCGTTTTACAACCCCGCCCCATATAACTGTTTTGTTAAAAATTACTTAAAGCGCGATAAATGCGCCAGGATGATACATGAAAGCTTTAAAGAAGCCGGGGTCAAAATTGGATCATAGGCGTGGCAGCGCCCAATTTAGGTGAAATCAAATATCTCCGGACCTACTCGACCAATTTCAACAAAATTCAGTACGTAACATTATTCTGTCGGTCCTATGAAAATGTACATTGTGAAAATGGGCAGAATCGGACCAAAATCACGTCTACTTCACATATAGCACAATTTTAAATTCCATATAATTCTTTCACTTTCCATAATCAAGCATCAATGAATATATTCGGATAAAACTTTGCACAAATAGCGTCTTTGAGATATCTTTGCACGTTGCAAGAATATAAAATGTTCGGTTTTACCCGAAATTAGCGCTTCCTTACTTGTTTTGATTTCAATTTAGGCGGCACAAAGAATAAGTTTTCTTTACCTCTCAAAGGAAATGCCGCCCATGCCAGAACGCTGCCACCACAAAGTTTCTTTTTGACAGGCATATACTTGTATTACTGTTAAGTAAATTATGCCAGTAACAACAGTAAGAGTCTGGACCATAGAAATTGAAATTTTTTGATCGGAAAACACAAAATTTGCCTAGTCACCACTAGTGAATAATATGTTCGGAAATTATAACGCTGCCTTGGACAATAACTTGTAGCAAATTTCATGTAGAACGTCACACTGACCATTTTCATATCTATTTTTTGGGGTCCCCGACCTTCCTTGTTTACGGTATAAAAAGTTCTCCATAAAGTTGCTTTTTGAAAGCGACTATTTGTTAGTTTTTTCATTCTAACAGATTAAACTAAACATTATTACATACATGTTTCAAAATTGTATTTCGATAAAATTTAAAAACTATAGATATAAAGTGATTAATTAATAAATTTTCCGACTGTTGCTGATACAAAGCCAAACATCAAACTCATCTGTCGACGCAAAAGTCTCAAGCAATGCGAATCTTAAATTGTCTGTGACTCAGCCAAAAAGCAGTTTTCGATTCCTCACTTTCGTGTTCTCTCATGTGTTCCAGTTGAATTCAATAGAAGAGAGTGAGTGTGGATGCCTCATTATGATGCTATTATTGTTTTCTATGTCTATTTAATCGTATTAATCTCCATCTTTTATACCAGCTGTTTGCTCGAGTTTTCAAGGCTTGGTGAACCGGAGACAGCTACGCTATTTAGGGTTTTTGTTGACAGACTTAAGCGTCTTTTCAATAAATTTGGAACTTTACAGTTCAAGTGTCAGGTCAAAGCAAGATATAGCACATAAGTAGAATTTGTTTGTAAGTGTTAGCAAGCCTGAATAATTTCATATTAATGCTATTAAATCCTTGCGATAGTATTAGGCCAAATAGTTGAAGGTTATACATTGGTTTTGCTTCTTTTTGAAATATTTCTTGTATCTCATATACATATACATAGACTGGCGAAAAATATAATTGTGCCAAATGTTAGAAAAAAATTAATAGATGTTGCCGAAAACACTTTTGTATTGTGATTTAAAAAACTAAAATCAGCGTTTTCGAATATGCATAGTTTGAGCAGTCGAAATAGATTTTAAAAAAATTACAGTGTTGTTAATGACCAATTTTTACTTCGGAAAGCATCATTTCTACATCTCACTAGTTTTTTAAAATCTATTTCAAGAACGATTGGCTAGGCGATTGATAAAAGGAAAGAATGAAACGGAGAGCTCAATTGGGTAGGTAGGTAGGTAGGTATGGTGGTTGTTTGACGCAAACTGCTGCCTTTAGCAGGCCCATTGGGTAACCACGGCGATTAAAACCCCCTCATTTTATTATGTCATATCTGAACCACCCTCGACCCATAGTTGCGATTATTTTCCTATAAAAAAACTTTCATTCGCATAGTCTCTTCTTCTTCTACAGCTTGACAGCTTCTTTTACAATTGTAATATAGTTGTACAATCTATTATCTGCAGCCTGCTGGCATCCTTACTAAGTCTAGTAATTCCTTTTGAATTTTAATAGTCGGCATGTGCGGAGAGGTCTTTTAAGATCTCACTCATTTCTTCAATTTGATCGAAATATTTTTTGAATGAATGTGATGATGCCACCTTTGCTCACCAATGACGCCATCTCCGAATAAATTTAGTGCTGACGTGTAGCAAAAAATTCATTATACTTATTTTGTAATTAATTTAATATGACTTTTAACATTTATATTTATTATAACACATAATAATTCTAAATACAAACGTGTTGTTGCTAAAATACAACAGATTTGAGCATATAATGAAATTTAATTTATTTGGTTTTTATAGTGTTCTTTTATCATTGTTGAAAAATTAGATATGAAAATTAAGTTTTCTATGGACTTGTTTCAAAAACATAAACTAACCATTTATATTATAACAAAATATTCACATATTAATATTATTATAACTCTATAACGAAGGCTTAAAAGTAGATTTTAATTTATCTCATATTGGTTTTGTTTATCGCTATAATCGC